AAGCCACGGTACCTGAGCCAGCTGCCAAACACTTCATACCAAATTTGCTAGATACTTGTCCTACAAGGTGGTCTGAGCCCCATATGCGGATATCGCGTCGTCTTGGCGCGAGAACGCCTAGCAAATGCACCATGCCTGCGGTGCGACCGGAAGCGTTATGGGTCCAAACGTGCGCACAATATTTGCGTTCAAGCGTCATACCACCCCCAGAGACAGGCTTTTGGCCAAATCTGCCCCACGAAAAACATTTCGGCCAAAATGTGACTCGGTTTTCGGAGGGTGGGCCAGTGAAAGTGTGTAGCTTTTTCCTGTTATAAAGCCATCTCTTCTGAGCGGCAGTTTCAGGGAAAATCAAGAAAACGTTGGAACTGCTTTGTAGCGCAGATCTTGATCAATCGCTGCGACCATCCAAGATGCAGTGGCTAATGGAACTAGTTGACTTTCGCTCAGGTACGTCAAACGATGTCTTCTAGTGTTCTGTATCAGTCGCATTGTGCTTATCTTGTCATCATGACTCGAGAGAGCTGATTTCTTCGTCTAGTTGCGTTGAGATGGTTCACTTATGTTTTTACCCTGTTTGAAATGAAAACTCTGCAGCGCGAATAATGCTCGCATAAGTCAAATAGTGCAATTATTCGTTCACAGCCACTCTGATTCACACATTGCGAGTTTCCATACGCTGTTGCGAAATCCTCTTGGGAAACGAGAATTCTCGCTCCTCATGGTTTGTTCCTAATATCAGATTTCTCGGGGTTTCGCGTCTCGTTGAATAACCTCTTCATCTCGAACCGAAATTGAGCCGCTATGTCTGATTTTCAGGAATCGTTTCATTTGTTCCACTACTGTGATCCAACATAGTCTTCCCTCAATTTTTATTTAACCGTGTATTTGTCGTAGTTTATATTGATGAAAACAATGCGTGAAAACAAGAACTGGAGTTTATTTGAATATGGTTGTGGTGAGGTAGAAGCTGGCTGGTGTAACTGTGGGTAATATGGCACGGTTACATAATTAAAACGTGAAGGACGTTCAGGAATGGGAGGAGAGGCCCGAAAAATCAGTAGGCATGGACTGTCGCGGAAGCGGCAGTGTAACAACAAATTCATCCTCACATCGTTCTCAAACCGTTTTCCAAAAATTTCCTTCAAACTCACCAGAATCTGTTCAGATTGCCACTGATGAATGCGATTTCGGAATGGGATTGGAATTGGGTCAGTGGCTGTTCCTTGCAAACCATGAACAGTTCGATAAAGTTGCCCACCGACTTCTCGGCACTGCTTATTCGTTATTGGGTCGTGGCAGAGTACAAGAAGATTCTCGATCTTCAAATGGCCCCAGGTATCCGAAGAAGAGATGAGATTGACGCTCGAAAGAAGAAGACTGAGTAAGATTGATAAAAAACTGATAAGTATGATTGGTGTCACTCGATCTTCGCTTACTGTATCTCACATGCACTTTAGCTCCAACTTACTTTGCTTAACACATTTACATTTTGAAAATTTCTTCTCGAGAGGGTAATTTCTAACCTCTGACTGCGGTGTTTCATACCTCTATGATCTCTGTATCCATAATTAGTCACGTACAATAAAACTCCAATCAGACTTCATTTCCTTTTTTCAAATGGTTCAGTACCCGTGGGTATCACAATGGTTTATCTTCAGTTTGTGTAGCTTGCAAAGAGAACGCGTTATAGTTTGCGATTCGATCGCGCGCGAATCATGAACGCGCTCTCACTGGTGTTTGTTCGATGCTTTAGGTAATCATTGTGAGCAGCCTGGACTGTCCTGGTTTTGTTCGCGTCCGAAAGCGTTACGTTCCACAGATTATCCGAATTTACTCAAACTCGTGAGGTCAGGCCATCGATGTAGTTATCGCGTGAAGCATGACGGACATAAAGGTAGGTAACGACTGTTCTCAAGCCTCTCCTCCAAGGTGCTCTTCCTAAAGCACAGTTTTGCGCGCAGTTCTTTTCGGGGGGGGCAACGAAAACGGTGCTCAGTGAAGCCCGAAAAGGCAACCTTGTGAACCCTGTAAGCTTTTTAACCTGAGCGCCTCACTTGCAGCATTTCGCATCTTCACGAGACGCTACGGTAATTTGGCAGAACTAACATGAGCAACTGGCGAAAGTGTAAGGTGCCCTTCCCCTACCCCTGAGCCGAAGAGCGCCAAATTTTTGTCCCACACCCCGAACATTTTGTGCAGTAATTTAATAAGAGAAACATGCTCATTCAGATTGTCCCGCTTGGGGCTGGGCAGGACGTGGGTCGATCGTGCATTCTGGTGACCATCGGCGGAAAGAATGTGATGCTTGATTGCGGTATGCACATGGGTTATCAGGATGAACGCCGTTTCCCAGATTTCTCGTGAGTCATGGGTTCTTCCTCTTTGCTGACTTGCTCCATTGTAGCTTTTTTTCAGATACATCGGTGGAGGAGGAAAGCTGAATGATTATCTGACTTGCGTGATTATATCTCACTTTCACCTCGATCATATGTCGGCAATCCACGTTTACCTCATATGAGTGAAATCGTTGGATTCGATGGTCCTATCTATATGACCTATCCGACAAAAGCTATCGCACCAGTGCTTTTGGTGAGTTATGGATATACTAGATTGCAGACAACTGCGACATTCATCCTCCATATGCATTGATCCTTCTTTTCCCAATATTAGTCCTGTATTTATTATGTTGAATTTTTGTCAGGAAGATTACCGGAAAGTACAAACCGAATTTCGTGGGGATACAAGTTTCTTCACTTCGGCTAACATCAAAGCATGTATGAAGAAGGTTTGCTCTCTATATTGTCTGAACTTTTTTCCTTTTCCTTCTGTAGGAAATACCCGCGGTATCCCTGAGAGTATATAGAGCTAGTGAACCCAGTAAAAGTTCGTTGTGGCGAGAATAATCAACTCATCTGCGCCGTAACGAGGAGGTAGTAGTTCCCTTCTTCCCTCAGGATCAGTATTGGCAAAATGGAGACGACCAGAAGCACCGCTTCTTAGTTTTGCTTCGTCCTTCAACCACCAGCTGCAGTAGCCGCTAGTTTCTATTGTAAAGAAGTTTTGCAACGTCATCAAAAGATCATCACAAGTGCTGCTTATGAGTTCCGTCGTTTCAGGTAATAGCAGTGGATCTTCATGAGACCGTCCAAGGTCGACAACGAACTTTCCATTCGTGCATTCTACGCTGGCCATGTGCTTGGCGCAGCCATGTTTGAAATCCGTGTTGGCCATCAAAGCATACTTTACACAGGTGTTTGCGTTGGCACGTTGGAAATTTGCCATGGAAAATATTTTTTATTGCTTGCAGGTGATTATAATATGACACCCGATCGACATTTGGGTGCAGCTCGAGTGCTGCCAGGCCTTCGACCTGACTGCCTGATCTCTGAGTCCACTTATGCGACAACAATCCGAGATTCGAAGCGAGCACGAGAAAGGGACTTCTTGAGAAAAGTTCACGACAGAGTAATGGCAGGTGGAAAGGTATAAAATGCAAAGTTCTCAGCATTTTTCCTCGTTTTCATGTGACCGTACATATGTAAACTCCATATCCCATAGATGGAAAGGGCGTGGTTGTGCACTTCTTTGAACGTGGTGTAGGATGCGTCTTTCGTGGGTTTTTCCCCATGTCAGACAGATGTCACCCTGTCTCTGCTGACGAAAATGGTTGCAACTTCCCCTTGGCTGTAGTCCATCAGAAGCGTATTCGCTGACAGCTTCAAATATGGTACGTAGCCACGCCCTCTCTGTCCCCATCTGTCCCCATGGTATGGAGTGTATGTGTTCATTAGATGCACGTATGGTTAAGGTTCTGATTCCCGTTTTCGCGCTAGGCC